TGAAAATCCCCTTCTATGTTTGGACTCTGGCTCTGAGACTCTGGCGCCGCGCTACCCCAAGCCATTAGGCCTACAGAACCAGTGGCCCTCCTCTGCCTGCTCAGAACTCTGCAGTTCCAGACAAGCTGGGCCTCAGGGACACTGTGCGCCCACCTGCCCCTTGGAAGCTCCACAGTTCTTCAATCGCAGCCGGGTTAGGGTACTCACCACAGGCCACAGTGCTTCAGCAACCTGTGGACCCTCCCTGGTTGCAGAGATATCCACAGTCCTCCAGACGCATGGAGAGGCCGATGCAGGCACCCCAAATCTGCCCAGCTCCTCCTCTGCAGACCAATGGCCAGGCGCGGCAGCTAAACAGGCTGGGCTAGGCTGGTATGTGGGCCAGCCCACCTATCGGGAGCTCAGCAGGTCTCCAAGTGAAGCCGGAATGGGGAGGCTGATGTGGAAGCCTCAAACCCACCTCTCCCCTTCACTGCACCTGGAAGCCTGAGGGAACTCCAGCAGTCTGGGTGCAGATATCCAGAGTCCTCCAGACACGCAGAGAGGCCAGTGAGGGCACCCCAGATCTGCCCAGCTCCTCCTCTGCAGGCCTATGGCCAGGCGCGGCAGCTAAACCGGCTGGGCTAGGCTGGTAGTGTGGGCCAGCCTACCTATGGGGAGCTCAGCAGGTCTCCAAGTGAAGCTGGGAATGGGGAGGCTGATGTGGAAGCCTCAAACCCACCTCTCTCTTTCACTGCACCTGGAAGCCTGAGGGAACTCCAGCAGTCTGGGCGCAGATATCCAGAGTCCTCCAGACACACAGAGAGGCCAGTGAGGGCACCCCAGATCTGCCCAGCTCCTCCTCTGCAGACCTATGGCCAGGCGCGGCAGCTAAACAGGCTGGGCTAGGCTGGTAGTGTGGGCCAGCCCACCTATGGGGAGCTCAGCATGTCTCCAAATGAAGCCGGGGAATGGGGAGGCTGATGTGGAAGCCTCAAATCCACCTCTCTCCTTCTCTGCACCTGGAAGCCTGAGGGAACTCCAGCAGTCTGGGCACAGATATCCAGAGTCCTCCAGACACGCAGGGAGGCCAGTGAGGGCACCCCAGATCTGCCCAGCTCCTCCTCTGCAGACCTATGGCCAGGCGCGGCAGCTAAACAGGCTGGGCTAGGCTGGTAGTGTGGGCCAGCCCACCTATCGGGAGCTCAGCAGGTCTCCAAATGAAGCCGGGAATGGGGAGGCTGATGTGGAAGCCTCAAACCCACCTCTCTCCTTCACTGCACCTGGAAGCCTGAGGGAACTCCAGCAGTCTGGGCGCAGATATCCAGAGTCCTCCAGACACGCAGAGAGGGCAGTGAGGGCACCCCAGATCTGCCCACCTCCTCCTCTGCAGACCTATGGCCAGGCGCGGCAGCTAAACAGGCTGGGCTCTAGAGAAATAATTTAAACACTGGAAAAAGGGATGTCTGTACTTCTTTCCAGGAACTTGTATTCTGTAACTTGTACTTGGCTTTTGCTGTTCACTTTACCACATGTGTAACCCTAAGCAAATTCCCTAATGTTTTTAGGCTCATTTTGAGGGTGTCGAATGCATTGATTTCTAATATTCTTTTCAGGCATGGAAGGAGTAAATGTTGTGAACACAACCTTAAGAGCTTGGAATAGTAAAAATAAGACAGCTCTTTTGCAGTATCAGCATCTACAGTGTCAATCCCAATGTTGTAAATGTTTATCTCTTTCTTAGTTGTTATTTCATTTTATTTCTTTATTGGTATCATCAAAAGATTTTGAACTTTGTATACAGTTACTTTTACGCTCTCTTCTAAAAAGAGGAAATTAAAGTACTTGAGTTATTTGTCTAAGCTCAAGTATTCACATGACTTGTGTTTAACTCTCACTTTCAGTCCTCCTTACATAGAGCTGTAAATGAAGACAGATCAGTTAGTGTGGAGGATGACCAGTTGTCTGAAAATCAACATTTGAAATAGTCTTATATTTATCCTACTATGCCACCATATGAATTTTCAACTTACTATTCTAACTAAATTTAATTGTATGTCTCTGTTCATTTGGTAGAAGATTCTGTCTTTAAATGAAAGGGACAAAAAAAATCACAGGCATTATAAATAATGTTTAAATGGATACTATCCATTCAATACTATCATTTCAATGATAGTAATTGCAATACTATCATTTAATGCATGTGTGTCTAAATTATTCAAAGCGGTGTTCTCTTGTTTCTTAGATGTGAAATGGGGTAAACCTCTGCTTATGTTTCTTACATATGGTGGCAGGTAAATGCTAACATCACCAAAATGAGACACCAGGCTCAGAATAGCTTATGGTGCCTCCTTCAAAGGGTTATTCTAAGAAATAAATCAGGTATATGTAAAAATCTTTAAGCACAAAGTGGTGTTCACATATTCATCACTATTAATTGTTAGCATCTTTGTGTCAAATGTAAGCTGCTTATTTATATTTATCAGAGTTGAGTTTTAGTTTATTAAAAATAGTTTTCCTTATATGTATTGATTTTAACTGTCTTTGCTTTCCTAGAGTAGTCCCTATATTTATTTAGTTTTTTAAACATTTTAAAATCATTTAATATACATTCACTGCTAAGTTCTGCTTTAGCTATATCTAATTTTGATACATAGTGCTTTGTTTCCAGTATCATTGAAATTATATTGTGATTCGCCATAAAATCCAATGTTACTTTATAGAGGTAATGTTTTTAAATTTTACTCCTTGTCTGTGTTCCGAAATTTTCAGTTCATTTATTGAAGAAATCAGGTCACTTACTTGTCTTATAGTTTGTCTTATTCAAAGTTTTATTTATGCACCCTGTAGTATCACTTCACATGTTTCTTTTCTCCATCTATTTTTTGTGAATTAACTATTAAATTTAAAGATGTTGCCAGGTTTTGGAGATGGCATTTTTGAGAGTACCTCAGAAGAGCTAGGCATAGTGGCACTCACCTGTAATACCAGCTACTGAGGAGGCTGAGACAGTAGGATCACATGAATCCTGGAGTTCAACCCCAGCGATGTAGCTTGCGTCAATGAGGGGGTGGGTGGGAATCTGTTACTCACTTGTAATCTTAGCACTCTAGAGGAATGAAGCAGGAGAGTCAAATTCAAGCCTAACCATGGCAACTTCATGAGACTGTCTCAATATTGAGGAGGAAGAAGAGGAGGAGACAGAGGAGAGGAAAAAGAAAAGAATAACAAAACCCATTCATAGGTGGTATTTCATATGTCAGTTAGCAGACTCAAATAACAAGTTACCTTGTCTGGCATTGACTATTAATAATTGTGTCTGCATCTTGACTAGGAGTTGAAAAAGAATGATACTGTGCAGGAAACACTTCTTTATTAGCTGAGATATCTCTACAAGCAAGCCTGCTCATACAAGCTGTTTTATAATATATATAGGATTTAGTCAGAAAAAGGAACAGGTAATGGTGCATTATTTTTCTCCAGTAGTTTTTAAATGATGGACTGATACTCTACCAAGATACAGCAGTAAGGATGAGTTTTGGTTATTTTTTTTTTTACTATAATGAGTGCATAGAATTGATCATCTGTGGTGTTTCCTTTGATGTAGTTAGACAATGATGCCCAAAATAGTCCTGATTTTTACCAACAAAAACCATCTTAGGTTGGTTCCTGAGTGCTTTTTCCACCACCCCTAGTAGGCTTTGACAGCTTTCTTTGTAGTATGACTTTGTTTCAAACTCATTTTGCACATATTTGATACCAACAGAAGATCAGCCATTCTTAAGCAATTATTTCTTTTAGTGTGGAATGGAATTAGAAACATTCTGAGCCATACTGGGTTGGTGCTGGTGGATTTGTCATGGTGGGTAAGGTCCTTTATTGACACAGGTACTTATTTTTGGAAACATTTAAAAAAATATTTTGGTTGCAACCTTGAGGTTTGACATTTGAATTCTGATTAAATTTGGTCTTCTCCACTTCACTGTTACTGTTTGGAGGTAGTTGCTTCTCCACAGGTGGTGGATGCTGTCTTGTGTATTGCACTGTATGTAGTCTCCTTACCAGCTCTGACCCAGTCATGCCCTTAACACATTCCCCCGACTCCAGGCCAGTCACAATCAATATTGTCCCCAGCGATTATGATCAGGTGTGGTCTGGGAAAGAAAATTTCCCCTATTTAAAAACAACGGGATTAATTATTTAGGTTTTTTTCTTTTTTTAAGACAGGGTATAGTTTAGGGTGGCCTTGAACTCATGATGATCCTCCTCCTGAGAGTGCTGGGATTACTGGTGTGCACCATAATGCCCAGCTAAAGAACAACTGGAGCAAACAAATAACATTTAAGAAATATTTTACAAAGTGCTAGTCAGGTTCACTGCTCCCTTAGGGCCTGGTGGGAGTTAGTTCCACAGACCTTTCCCTTCTTGCAGATACCAAAAGTTACAGATGCTTAAAGCTCTGATGGTATTTTCCTATAACCTATGCACACCCTCCTATATACTTTAAATCATCTTTAAATTTCTTATAATGCCTAATACGATACAAATGCTATATAAATAGTTCTGTCCTGTAAATGCTATATAAAGTATACATATTTTATATTTTGGAGAGTAAAATATTTCATGATAGTTTAGTGTTGAGAAAAAATTGTAGTCAAAGTAAAGGCAAACTGGTAGCAATGTCATATCTTCTTTATTTAATTTTAATTGTACTTGCAAAATGTTGGTAATTGCTTTGCAACACAGATTGAGTCATGAAGAACTGAGTGTATAGCCTAACTGAGTGCTGGCTGTGAAAACTGGTATGTCTTGGTTTCTTTAAGCTTTATTTCTGCTGTGAGGTAGCAGCAATATTTGCTAGTTGCCTTGAGAATTTAATGATACAGCATAGAGCCTGGATTATAGCAGACTATAATTAGTAGCTTTTATCATTACATGTTTTTAAAGGAAAAAGAAGAAAACATTGGAAGTGAGCATTCAGCACTGCTTATGAAAGTTAAGACACTTTTCTTCCTTTTCAGAGTCTTCTCAAGTATCACCAAACCTAGATATCATGAAGGAGAAAGAAAGTAAGGGGTTTTTCAGCTTTTTTCAACGCAGTAAGAAAAAGCGGGAGCAAGTAAGTATTTTCTTATCTACCACTGCCTAAAATTAATCAAGTCTTTTAAAAAAAATATCAGTGCTTTTCGTCTTGAAATTACATGCAGACACTGTCTTTATTCTTTTACTAGACTGCGAGTGCTCCTGCAACTCCTCTAATAAATAAGCACCGCCCAACTTTTGTGAGATCCAATACCCTCTCCAGGCCATATGTGTCCAACACCCTGCCATCCGATGCACCCAAGAAGAGGCGGGCCCCACTGCCACCCATGCTGGCATCGCAGATTGCACCACAGGACCTTGAGCAGCCCCAGGAGAGAGCAGGCTCTTCCGTGGTGAAGTCCACAGGCGTGGAGGAAGCTGATGAGGTGGGCTGTTTTGTTTTATTTGTATGTTTTAAGGATGCAGGGAATCATCTGTTTTTTTCTTTTACCTGACTTGTTGTTTTCCACACAATTCTGAAGAAAGTTAGTAACAGATATTAATATGTAGTAAAATGAACAGCTAGTTCCTAATAACATTTGCACCAGAAGAGAGTATGTGTAGCTCTGCCATGTAATGAAGAATAAATTTAATTTAAGTAGTTTTCATTTTTAGGCAAGTAAATGGTGTATAAATCTAGTCATTGTTTCCTAAAACCCAACAGGGTCCCTTGCTTGGTGCATTTGAAATACTCATTTTCAAACACATATTCTTTTTAAGAACTAGCCGTCTTTTTTTTTTTTTTTTTTTTTTCTTTTTTTTAAAGTTAAACTGGCCATCTTTGATATGTTCATGGGTTTCTACCTGCAGGTATCTTCTTGGCCTGACTTTGGGATTCTCCAGGGAAATCTCCAGTGTCAACCTGTATATTGATAGTCTGTTTTTTAAATGGGTTTTTAAATGAAAATACTACAATTCCTTGCTGAGACAAAATACCCAACACCCACAACTTATATGAGGAGAATCCCCTGCTCCAAGTCCATAGTCCCTGCTCCAAGGCAGGGAGGCATGCAGGCAGGCAGCGGAGGGCTGCTCACTGCATGGAGGCGGGAAGCAGAGTGTGAAGGAGGAGCAGCAAAGAGAGACTCTTCCTGGCCGTGACTCGGCACCCCTGTCTTCCGACCAGATCCCACCTCCTAACCGCAAGTCAGCTGTAAACTCAGCAGTGGACTCATTCAGTGATGATTATCACATCCCCTGATCCAGTTATTTCCCACAAATCCCATCCATGAGTATTAAGAAGCTGTGGAGGCACATCCAGATATAAACCATAATAGCTAGGTTCAAAGCATTGTTCTAGGTGTACCTTTTCTTCAAAGCTTTGCTAATTTATTTCTTTCCTTTAATCTGAGTATACCATTTCATGGGAATCCATTCGCAAACTATTTTTTTTTATATCTATACAACCTCTGCATTCCTTTATTTATGCAGAATGACAGTGTTTTTAGGTAAATGTGATTGTGAGGCCGTATATTCTGTTGCTGTTCATAAGAGAGAATAACTTACATGACTTTGAAAACAAATTTTATTTTGAGATACTTGAGATAGTACATTTCTTGTATCTCATTGAAGTATGCTATTTCTGTCTTGGAAATTTACTAAGTTTAATGCTCAAGCAAGCAAGCAGTTCCCAAACACCTAATATATATTTGTGTCTTAACTTAAAATATATTTTTCTTTAGTTTGTAAATTATCATATGTGTCTTTAGAAAGCAGCAACTCAAATAGAAATGAACTTTTAAAATGCTCACTCTAAGGAGGTTCTTGGAAAATCACCTGTTCAACTCTCATTTCTATAAGATTTTCTTGTATAATTTAGTATTTGTAGCATAAAGTCCAATTTTATAAATCAGAAGGAGAATAATTTTTTAATGGTAGAATTGTATCCTGTCTTCTGGGTAGCTGCTTATTGTTAGAGGAAGCTTGAGAAGCCAGAGAATGGTGATTCTCGAATTCACTTCTCAAATATGTAGGAGCAGTGCTTTCTCAGGGGAATCATGCTGGTCAGAGACTCAGAAATGGTAAGCCGACAGCGGGCCTGGGCCCGGGCAAGAAACAGACAGAAACTAAGCAGGGAAAATCGAGGCCAAGTCAGGCTCCAGTGACTTTTTTTGTGCTTGTAGTATCCTTAAATTTCTTCATAGGGAACTGTAGCATTTTCAGGATTGTTTCATATTTTTGATTAACATAAAAGTGCATGATAAGAATATAAATGATTATATTACTCTCAGGTGGCTACCAAAGTATTTTGACTTTGGTGTGGAAGTATTCTTAGCTCCTGCTCACTGCTCTTTATTATAGCTGTCCTCATTCAATCTGTTCCGGTAAACTTCCTTTGTACTTGGATCCCCAAGAGGTCTAGCTTGTCTTTATAATAGTCTGCATCTTAAAACTCCACTTCCAATGACCTTGCTGAAAGCTCTTTCTTTTGATTCTCACCCTCTGCTCTATGAGCAGTTGATGCCCCTCTGTTAAGTAATATTTTTTTTTTTTAGTATGTTGCCTTTGGCAAAGTACACATCTTTATATAATTTTCTAATTATTTTTCCTTTTGATCTGGACATCTGGGTTGTTCTTTGATGTATTGTTCAGAAGGACCCAGAATTATTTGTTTTTTCTTAGAGAAGCCAAAGAACCATTTTTTATTTATTCATTACAGAATTTTTTAATAATTAAGCTACGGGTATGTTTTTTAGTGTGAGTATACACATGCACACACATAAACTTGTGCCTTCCAAGCATCTCAGCACATTACATTTGTGATCGTATTTTATATGATTAATTTCTCACTTTCTTTGTCTTGATACTGTTCTTACATCTCAACTCTGCTGTTTTTTCTTGCTATTTCCTTTAGCCATTTTCTAAGTAGAGATACTGGAATACATGATCTTATTTATATGTTCTGCATTATTTAGGAAGGACATCTTTTTTTTTTTTTTTTTTTTTTTTTTTGGTCAAATTCATGGACTTAAGGATCTCAACTATGGTGATCTGAATATTGTCCCCTAAGAGATATGTCCATGTCCTAATCCCCAGTTCCTATAATTAAGATGACCTTATTAGAAATAGGTTTTTATAGATGTAGTTAAGGATTTAGAGAAGAGAACTTGGTTTGGGGCTGAGCCCAAATCCTATGACTGGTATTCTGTGAAGAGACAGCACACAGGTGTGGAGACAGGAGGAGCAGGTCCTGTGAAGGTGAAGGCAGAGGTTGGAGCTCGAGCCCACAGAAGCCCAGAGAGACCAGCGGAATACGACCTAATGCCTTTTGAGGATAAAAGACCCTGAGATGCTGTTATTTTAGGTTTCTGGACCTCGGAACCACGGAGGAGTAACTTGCTATTGTTTAAACGGTTCAGTCAGAATAATTTGTGGTGGTAACCCATGATACTAATGACATCAGTTTTGTAATTACAGTCCTGGTTGTAGTTTGAACTCTTGGATAGTTACTGACTTATCACTACATGAAAAATCAGCAAATTTAGAGCTATCTTCAGTTTTTTCTTTCCAACTGAGAAGCCCTACTATTTTTTTCTTACTTGTTACTTTTGCCTTTTTCCTGACTTTTTTCTTTTTTTTCACATCCACTTAAAGACCGATTCTTCCTGCAGTCTCACTTTCTTATATCTTGCATTCCCTCTTAAAGCCATTGCTAAAGAAATCCTGTGCAAAGACTAAGGAGAGAACCAGTATTTAACTTGTCTTCAGCATGTTCTGAGTGTGGCAAACTGCCATGTTTATATTTCTTAATTATTACTTCCCAGTTGAGAATCTTTAGTCAGCTGTAATTTTCTGAATCTCAAATTCTTTACAAACTGATCATAATTTTACTTTTAAGCTTTAATTCCTCTTCACTTTTAGGACGGTTTTTAACTTCAGAAGATTTGACTCATTATGGAATGACTCTGCCTCTTCATGTCTGTCTATCTCTTCTGTTGATTCATTCTTTTTTTACTTTCTCTGAAGTTATGTCTCTTGTACTTTTTCTTTTTTTTTTTTTTTATTTAAAGAAAAGGAAACGAAAAAAAAAATACATGGAGATTAAAAAAAAAGGGTAGAAATAATTCTAAATTACAGACAAACAAAAGGTAAGAAATTGCCAGTTGATAAGTTACAAATTGTCATCTTCGAAATGGCTGTTCAGGTTATAGAATTAAAGTATATAGAATGACATTCAAAAAAAAAAATGACCCTACAAACCATTCTGCTCTATGGCCGAACAAAAGCTCCGTAATATGATTATCAGTCCCACCTATTTGTTTTACATCTCTAAGAGGATAAGGTTAACCATATCAAAACAGAACAGAACATTTTAAAAAAAAATAAAAAACAATTTAAAGAAGTACAGATTTCAAAGCAAGTCCACTGGAGATCTACCTTATCTAACTGTCTCTAGCTTCTTACAAATAGTTGTCCCTAACTTCACCCACTTTCTATACTTATTGCATATTATAGAACAAATCAAATCATTACAGGATGATGGAGTCTTTTTAGGTCCTCAAGTTCCAGATTAGGGAAGACATTTCCAACTACCATCGCATCTCTCATTCTCTTTGTGATAGCCGTCCCCATCTCTGCATATGCTGAAGTTGAGCTGAAGAAACCAGTCCAGAGTCATTTTAATCAGCAAGCAATAGATTGCTAGAATTTATATTATAATGCTACAAAATAAGCCTCGGGTTTTTCAGGTCTCTTCCTCAGAGTATTTGTTCCTATCCTCTCTGTATTATAGGGAAAACCAAGTCATAACAAGACAGCGAAACAATTTCCTAGATAAACATGCAATGGATAAGACTTATAAAATTATAATATAAATGATCTTCCGTAGCTACTATGTTTTCTCTTGTTATTTTCAATAGATTTGTCAACAACACTGGCTTATTATAGTTAAATATACTATCACCTATTTTTATAAAAACTTATCTTTGACTGCATTGTAGTATTTGAGAGCTGTTACTGATTCATACCAGTATGGATATCCTTTACATCCTGTCATGCTCAGAGTAGTTTCCTCTACTTTTAGGGTTGATTCTAACACGCATACCGATTTCAAATAGGATCAGTCAAGGCCAACCAATGGTCTTATGATTCAGATACAATTAAGATCAGTCATAGTAAGACAATGTAAGTAATACAGGATTTCAGCTTAAGTCAATAGGAAAATAAGGATAGTTACCATGGTATAACCTGCTATTTTTGGTTCTAGAGGTCTGTGTCCTCAAATCTGATATGAGTGGACAGACCAGAACAAATTTAATTCAATCTAAATATGGCACTAGGACTACTGTGTCTTTTAAATCGTTATACACCATTAGCAATGACCTCTGCTTTTTTTTTTAAAATATAGTTTCAGAGCTGTCTCTACCAAACACTAGCTTACCGTCTC